GCACCAACACTGGAAGTTTTTAAGAAGAAACTGGACAGCCATTTGTCCAAAATGGTATAGGGTTTCCTGCCTGAGCAGGGGGTTGGACTAGATGACCTCCAAGGTCCCTTCCAACTTTATTATTATTATTATTATTATTATTATTATTATTATTATTATTATTATTATTATTATTATTATTATTATTATTATTATTATTGGAAGATAATGATTACCTTCTACAACAGAAGACAATAAAAATGACTTTTGTTTTCTTTTGTTTTTGAAACTATCAAGCAAGTCATTTAGAGTCAGACAACATGAGATAAAACAAACAAATAATGACTTTTATTAATGTCATATTAACATTATTCCCCTATCTTGATATCCCTTCCAGAAAAAATTTTGGGAGACCTATCCACACAATGGAAGAGGAGGAGCAAGTGAGTAAGGATACAAAACAGCAATGGGGAGTTCCATGTATTTGTGTTTTCCACTATCCTTCCTGAATCAAGTGTCACTTTTATAGACAGGAACCCAACTAATAATTTTTAGGGACTTCTAGAATCTTCCAAGTCCAACCACTACTGGGCATATAATAGCAACAAGGCTGGGCATTCTGCCCCTTCAATGTTAGGTGACAAAAGATCTTTCCATTTTCCTGAGGTAATGCTGTCCCCACATCCTTCACTGAGGAGAAAACTGTAATAAGACATTTGCTGCCCCATTATTGATCCTTTTGCTGCCTCTGTTGCCTTTGCTTCAAGTCACTGCAGCCACCTGCCTTCCTTTTGAAGAAATAAGTTCCAAGGCTTAATAGTTTTTGCCACGTTTTAAAGCAGGGGTCTCCAAACTTGGCAACTCTAAGACTTTAAGTATGGCTGCCTGAGCAATTCTGGGAATTGAAGTCCACAAGTCTTAAAGATGACAGTTTGGAGATGCCAGTTCTAAGACTGTAAATCAGGCTTGTCAGATGCTATATTTTTCCTATCCTGCTCTATGGAGTAGAGAGTTGGTCTCTGACAGAAGGCCACCTGAAGAGACTAGAAGCATTTGAAATGTGGATTTACAGGCGGCTGTTACGTATAAGCTGGGTTGACAAGATCAGAAATGAGGAGGAGATAAGCTGCCTGGGAAAGCCAAGGGAAATCATCAAAACGATTAAAAAACAAAAATTAGAATATTTTGGACATGTGATGCGACACCCAGAAAAATACGGCATACTCCATTTAATCCTCCAGGGAAAGATTGAAGGCAAACGAGGTCCAAGCAGAAGAAGAACATCGTGGCTTCAAAATCTAAGGGACTGGTTTGGACAAAACTCAGCAACACTTTTTCGTGCGGCTGCTGATAAAAACAGGATCGCCAACATGATCGCCAATGTCCGATAACGGATATGGCACAAGAAGAAGAAGAAAGTTCTAAAGCTCTGTTAGCCCTTAGAGGTAGTCCAGACAAGAAGTGCAACTATTAATACTAATTCTATTTTATTGTAAGGCTACATTAACAAAATCTTGCACAACAAAGTATTTCTCCTCTTCTCCCTATTACTCTCCAGAAAACTACAGAGGGTTCTTTCTGAAATTCTTTCAGTGCCTCTTCTCCTTCTGTGGACTGAGAAATCTTTTACATGCAAATGTCTTCAGCTTTTCCTCCTATTTCCCAAGGTCATTCTCAGATTCCATTAAAAGCTGCTATTGGTTAGTGGCAGCTTAAGCAGGAATACTTTGCTTTAACTCTGATAGTTAAGTCATTAGCCTTCATGGTCTAAAGACAAGATGAAACCGGCATCATAGGAACATGGCAACACAAAAAATGTTGCCACAGGTGTTTGTACTAGGTTAGATGCTAATGGGGAAAGACTATAAGATTATATATGATGGCTTTATTGTAGTGGTTTCTAGCATCACCCAACCATTGCTATGCTCAGAAATATCAACAAAGAAGAGAGGCTTTATATAGCTACAACAATGGCTGGGTAAATCTATAAATTACAAGTTAGGAAGTAGCCTCAGTAGAATGAAAATGTTCCTCTACCCTCCATTCTCCAAATGCCTCTGAATGAGATCTTCAGCCTCAAGACATGAAAAAACAAAGGTTGGTCAATGCTGTTCTAAGGACTCCTTATATTTGACTGTAATGGGGAAACAGCTTGCCCTATCACATTTTATCCTTTCTACAAAGATGTGCTTATAGAACTTTCTCCTACTTAATCAAGTAATTCACCATAAAGCTGTATGTCGATATATGTAATCTATTCATCTCATTGCATGCCATATATTTATCACTAGATTAACCTATTCAGACTGTAATTATTGCAAGTGGGGCAATAATGTGACAGATAATAACTTTTTAGGAATTCTCAGTGACTATCATTATTACTTATTATTAACTTTGGGTGGGTATCATTTTGATGATTGGGGACTACACATTTTTTCAGGAGAGAAAACTGCATTGAAAGGTAGGGAGGAAAGCGGATGAGACAGCATCATTCAGAATAGCTGAGCCAAAACTCTCCATTTCTCCAGGGTACTTTAAACCAGTTTAAAGATATTTTAGGACATATATTCTAATTTCCATGTGTTTCCCATCCCAGACCAAGAAAACCAATATTGCTGATTCTCAACACTGGTGCACCTGAAATTTGGCAACATGATTAAAGGGGGCTTTGGGATCTCAAAGAGTAGGGAGGACCTACCCTTGAGCCATCCTTATATCCAGTCCTGTCCTGACAAATTTGAACTGGAGCTAAAGCTTCTAACACAGCACTGTTCCAGTTCATTCCAATACCCCAGTTCTAAGAGTCAAGACCTAATGTAGCATGGATGTTAGAATTAGGATCTCCAGTTGTTTTAAGCAACAAGAATCCCAGTAACCCTTCCTATCTACCTGTTTTCATAGGAAATCCTGGAGTAGATGTGGCAGGCCTGGTGTCTGGCCTGATTGCAGCTTTGGTGTCCATTGTCATGTTTATAATTGTGGCCATGTATTGTATCAAATACCGCGCTAAAGAGAGAAATCGATCCAGGTATGTGTCAAGATCCACAGTGAGAAGTTTTGTGCCCAGCTATGTAATAAAGGGAGTGAAAGGGGAAAATAATTCTAGCACTTTGTCACCAAGAAAACATGAGGTCAAAAGCATTTGATTCAGGATTAACAGTTGCATCAGTGAAAAAAAACAACATGGTATGGGGATTTATATCAGCCTTCTGCAAACTGCTAACCTTTAGAGGAATTAAATTATAAATCTGATAATTTTTAGCTGTGTGCATATTTTCCAAAGTCTTTTTCTCTTTTTGAAGTTGATGTTTTCACACAGTTCTTAAAAATACATTGTTGAACTACAGTTTCCATTATCCCTATTCTGCATACATCTTTCATGGGTATTATATGAAATGATTTTTTGACATTGATAGTTTTTTCAACTTTTTTCCTGTAATATGTGATTTATTGGACTAAAATTCCCTTAATTTCCAAACACCCTGTATGCTTTCCAAAAGCTGATGAAAAGTTTGCTAATTTTTTGTTTTGATTAAGTGAGGCTTACAGACAAAAAGCCTGTGAATTGTTTTAGCTTTTTTGACCTCTGTCTCCATTTCCTTTTAGAAGAACACAGGAAAATTTGAATCCAGGGATTCCCCTTGCCAGCTTTGATGATGAGCCCAAGCCGGAATCTGCACCTGGGCTTCCTTCTTATGAGCAAGCAATGGCAGCTCCAGGAGTACACGACGCACCACCCCCACCGTACAACAGGTAGAATTATCATTGGGATCCTACCTACCTCAAAATTCTAACATTATCTAGGGATTGGGAACTGGATATAGAAGGAGAGCAAGGTTTGAGAATCAGGCTGCCTAAAGAGAGTGTGCAATGAAGATCAGGATCCTATCTGAATTGAACCTTGGAAAACTTTTTTCAAGGAAGGAGCATTGGATTATGCAGAAAGCCTTATTGTCATGGAAAATCTGCATGAACCTGCAACAGACCAAAGGCTTTTGTTCTCAAGAGGAAAGGCAGTACTGGAGTTGACAGGAAGTACAGAATCATCAACAGAGCTCATGTGAGCCACCAATGCGGGGGTGGGAAACTGCAGATGTTAAACTTCCAGGAATCTTCATCCCTACCTCTGCTGGTTGGAACTGATGGGAGTTGTAATTTAGCAGCATCAAAAATGCATTGGAATAGGGGTGAAGGCACAGGTTTCCTTTCCCTTCTCTGTCTCCAGGGAACTGGCAGAAGAAAATGTTATATCATTCTCCTCAGGATAGATTAGATTCATTCGCTCTACTTCAGTCAGAAAGAGAGAATAGTTTTAAAATTACCAATTCCCCCCACTCCCAAGTCCAGGCAACGGGTGTATAATACCCTCCGTCTCTTCTAGATTTCTGCTCATTAGCAATTCTGTTTTGATCCATTAACATGTAGTTTCTTGCTCCAGTTTCAGTTTCTGCACTATTTGTGAGTCATGGATTCTGTCCAGAGTCCCACAAACCTAAAGCACAGAAGAATTTGCTATTTTTCAGCACCAAAAAAACTTTTCAGAATTTACCACCTAGGATCATTGGAGAAATCCATATACACTACCCAGAGCTCCTTGCAAGTAGAAAACAAATGTGACGTGATTAAAAGTGACATGAATGCCAAGCAGTTACCACAGTATGAAATGGCAGCACAAAATGTAACTTTCATCTTTCATTGGCTCTGGCTGCTAAATTGAAAGTTGAAAAAATTGTATGGCTGTGGATATACACACATACACAAGCATACACGAAAAGAACATTGTATTGCATATAATATTGCACATATTGTAAATACTGTACATAACTTCAAGTAGTATTTGCTGCTGCCACCAGTACTAGATCAGCTCAGGGTCAGCAACACTGGAGGCACTACAGCCAGATAAGGAGTAGATGTAAAGCAAACTGAAGATAACAGGAAGACCTTAGCACAATAGTAATCCCCCCAGATATTCAAACTTTAATGGTCCGGAAACGAAGTGCAGGAGTGTTAAGCAGATTTAATTGGAGCAGTTCAATCTTTTCCAATCATGTGTCTTCAACTGTGTTGCTCTATAACCTTCAGAACTTCCATGCAGCATGCATGTTGTGGTAAGTACAACATAAATAGTAGTTATGAAGAAGAAGGGAATCATTAATAATTCTTAATTCTTAAATTTGGATCTTTCTCTCCAGGAACATGACTACTGTTGAAATCTGATATATGTGAGGCTGGCACTATATTAAGAATATGCTGTAGCAGAATACTGCCGGTACTGAAAGGGAGCCAATGATCCCTGTAGTTATGAAGGCTAGTCTTGAAGATGGTTCAACGTGCTTGACATTGATTGATGACTTTATTGCAGTCAAAGGGTATATCTTGCTCAAAAGGAACAGATGAGGGAAAAAGAAAGGGAGAGAGAAGTTGTATATGTGCGACTTCTGAAACCTCCAGATAAATCCATGAATCTGAGATTGGAAGCTATGATGAAAGCCTATAGATGAGGATAGGAAGAAAAGGAAGAGAAAAGTTCTATCAAAGTAGCAATATAGGACAGGCTGCCAAGCCAACAGAAAGCACAGATTATATTTTTCTGAAACAGTTACAAAACTTTCACAGATACAGTTATTGTATTAATAGGGAATTTTGAACATCCTCAACATCTGGAAGTCTGCTAAGTCTGGAACATCTCAGTAAAATCCTGACTTCCTGGTCTCTCTGCCTCTCAGAAAATAAAGGACGGGGAAAAAAGAACCTCATACCCTCTATTTAGTTCTGATCAATGGGGAATGCTGATGAAGAGACAGTGTTAGAAACATTGGGAAGGATGGTGGCTATGTTGTAATTTTGGAATTTGTGGTAGTAAGGGATGTGTATAATTGGATATGTACTTGACCTTTAAGAATGACAATCTTAAAAAAAACTCAAAAAAAGTTGCAAAGATAGTAGAGTTCAGCAAGAATTGGAATATCATTGAAGATGAATTGCAAATTGTTCCACTGAGAAGGAAAAATGGAATCTGGCTTCGCAAGTTCATTGAAGAGCTGAGAGTGAGAGCTTATTTTATTTTATTTTTTTACAAAAGATTATATAGGTGATTGCTCCAAGAAGTTAGTCATCTCAACCTGTAAGGATGAGATAGAAAAGTAAGGTTCAGAATGAAATAAGGCTTGTGAAGGATATTAAAAGCACCAGAAAGAGCTTTTTGTTTATGTTTGGATCAAGAAGAAAACAGAAAGAAGGTCCAGATAGGCCAGCTCCTTATGGAAGGTCATGTGATAATGGAGATGACACAAAAGGAAAGTATTATCTTGACTCCACCTTCATCCATAAAGAGTTGTGACAAAGCTGGAATGGAAAGCTGACACCACGGGATATAATCAGATTACAAATCCATTCATGAAAGGCTGCAAATGTGGGCAAATACCTACAAGTGAGATACATATATTCAACCAATTGAAATAAATGTAAAGTATAATTGTATATAAACAAAAGTAAAAGGGCAAGGATTGAATGAAACATTGGCTTGGCCAAGGATTTAGATGTGTCAGTAGGTCATAAGATTAAGATGAGCCAGCTGTATGATACAGCTGTTAAAAATAGCATGAACAGTTTCATCCTATTTAGCACGGGCTGAACTTTACCTAGTATTGTGTTTAAACTTGGGTACCATATTTTTTGGAAGGTCATCAAGGAATTAGATCATACCCAGAGGATGGTGAATCAGGTGGTAAAAATCCTGGAAGTCCTTCTGTGTAAAGATTTGTTGGAAGAACTGTGTTGAATCTTCAAATATTAAAATTAAATATGATAGCAATACTTGATAGATTGTCATGAAGAAGATGAAACAGATTTGTCCTCTGCTATTTCAGAAATAATCCCCAACCCTGCAGGGACATTATAGACAAGCAGAATTTGACTTAACATTTGCAAAACCTCTGCAGTGGTAAATGCTATTCAGCAGTAGTTCAGTGTGTCACTGGTGAGCTATTTCAGTGGATTAATTCAAGTACGGGCTAAAACTATCCAGATTTATTTCATATGCTTAGTAGAGCACTGGAATAGCTGAAAATCTTTTATTTCTTTATACCAGAGGTGGAGAACGATGGCCCCTTATGACTCATGGCTCAGGAATTCTGGTAGTTAAAGTCCACAAGTCATAAAAGGGCCATCATTCCCCACCCCTGCTTTATACCATGGAACCCCCTACTTAAATTGCAGGTATACTGTAGCATCTACAGTGGTTTATTTGCATTTTCTTGCAAGTAAGGTTGTTGGGTTTCTCAACAATCCAATGGAGGTTAGCCCAGTGGAAAAAGAACATATTTTCTCTTAAGGAAATACTATATGTTACAATCATTTGTGCTAAGTTTCATCCTTGGCTGCAAAGAAAAGAAGTGAAAAGTAGAACTGGGCCCTTAGTGTTAACAATTGCATTTTAACAGTACAATTTCCGATCATTCTTAATATAGAGGAGGATGGCAGTTCTTCCCAAAACATGATCTTAATGTTTCCCTTATTCATTTTCTCAGGAATATTTTAATCCAGCTAGTTTTTTCTTCATTCACTTGTTTCCATGGATTACTTTTTCTTCAATTATCATATCTTTCTTTTTCTTCAGGAATAGTGTCAATTTGACTCGGCCAACCTGAGTTTTCAACAGCAGGATAAATATTCTTGAAATACCTATTGGTCTCCTTCATCTATACAAAAGACACTATGCACACACCTGCATGACAGCCAAAGCAAGGACTTTGAAGCGGACAATTAATGCATACTGGATATGAATCTGCAGTATGAACAGGCTGTATGTGAGAGTCAGGTGTGCAGAAAAGGATATTGCAGAATGTTTTGGTTGAAAAAATAAAATCTAAAATTGCAAATGCGCATATTAGGACTGTTATCACTAGATAATGTGAAAGTGAATTGCTAATTTGCACAGATTTCCTCCCCCCATTTTTTTCCTCTTCCATTCATCTTATGAATGAGTTTTTTATAACTGTCTTTTCTATCAACATGTGATTTTTAAGGATTATATTGAGGATAAATGAAAATTGTTTTTATTTGAAGATAAAGATGATTGATTGTAGCAGACTAATTCATATAATAGGAACTCTAAGTTGGAGTAAGAAATCTTATAGCCCAAGACAGAAATTCAGTTTGGGGAAACTGCCCTGGATTATGCAAGCTCAAACATTTATTCAGGTGCAGAAAGAATAGGGATATTAGAAGTTGTCTCCTGTAATTGGCATGCAGTATAAAAAACAGGAATGGCTAGCTTGAAATATTCATTGGTAAAATTGCATTTTGCCCCTGCTTGTTCCAAAGAATAGTATTTGTTACGGCCACTGACTAAATTCATGATCCAGAGAATGTACTTTTCCAGTTCTAAGAACAGAATATACAAGAAGCTGACTTATATCAGATCAGGTTATTTGACCATCTGGCCCAGTGTTATTGCTTGACTCACATCTGCTCTCCAGAAGCCTTAGCAGTGAAAGGCTTCTCCCATCACAGCTGCCTGATCCATTTAAAATTTGGTCTGGATTAAGTTTGATTTTATTTTCACACAAAGTGGGTTCCCATCTCCAAGCTCTGTTCCCCTCCTAACCTAAAGACAGACACGCCCACCCAGGCTTCCAAACTGGTCCTGAGAATCTTATTAGAGAAGGCAGATTAGCAATGCAAATTGGACAGTAGCACAGGTATTTCGAGACAAGAAATTTAGCCAGAGATGGAGAACAAATAAGAAAGTAAAATCACAGAAAATGGGGGCACCTCTGCAGTGATGTAAGCATGAAAGAGAACAAAACATGTTTATATATGCTTTTAAGCTGTCTGTGGCACAAGATGAGAATGAAGTGCGAAAGATGGTGTGGTTGGACAAAACACATTTATAAGCACAGATGTTAAATTCATATCTGTCCTGCCTTTTCACTTACTTGTCATGAAATATGTTTGCTTAGCTTTGAGCACAATAGAGAGAACTCTTCATCATAACTATAAGGAAGGGGCAGCAGTTTGCTGAGTGTTGGTGAACAATAATGTGGCCTATTAAATGAATAGTCTGTAAATCTTTTAACATGATTTCTATGGAAAATAAAATTTTAAAAGCTATTTTTTCATACGTCTGAGTGTCCTTCTCATCAGAAGACGTTGTGGTTCAGGATTTACTTTGAACCAATGTCATGTATCCATCAGAAGATAATAGTCACAGGATTCCACATGATACTAAATTGCCAAGATTCAACAGGCATACTGCTCTAGCAGCTGCCAGATTTGCTAATATCTATGTAAAGGGGGCAGCCAAAGTATCTGACTTTAATCTTTCAATTTCTTTCCCCAAAACATTATTCTGTGAATTTAGATTATGTTCTTAGCAGCTGCTATTATGGCATTTTCGTCCCAATGTGTGGATTTCTGGAGTACGTGTACAGGAAACTCCCACCCCTTATTATTATTTAGTCACATTTGTGCTTTGGCTTGTTTACTAATGGAGCATAGTCCCCACCCCCTCATCTTTTTAAGCAGTGTTTCACAATCTCAGCAACTTTAACATGTGCAGCCTTAAATATGCTGGCTGTGGAATTCTGGGAGTTGAAGTCCACTTAATGTTGCTGAGTTTGAGAAACACTGCTTTTAAGCATTATTCCTGTACTTCCATTTTCAGGAATGGAGGTAAACGAAAACTTACTTTAGGGCAGGGGTAGTCAACCTTGGCTCTTTTATGACTCGTGGACTTCAACTCCCAGAATTCCTGAGCCAGCTAAGCCAGACACGTGTAATACAATAAACTAGAATACCAGTAATACCCTAAAGCAGGGATAGTCAACCTTGGCTATCCCTGCTTTAAGGTATTACTGGTATTCTAGTTTATTGTATTACACATGTCTCAAATTTAAACATTTAACTTTGTCAGAAGTAAGTCTTCATCCTGGTTCATCCAAGCCGGGAATAAATAAGCAACATGGCGACTGCTTTGGGAAGAAGGTTACAGTTTATTGAAGAAGCAGAAAGATGGTTCTTCAGGAAAGAGCAGAGGAGAGAAGGGGTGAGCACATGGGTAGAAGGTTTTTATACCCCCTCTAGCCTTTTGTTTGGAATAGTTTCCTGTTCCTGTGGCATGAACTTTGAGGCTATTTCTGAGTGCTTTTCTAGGCCTTGATATCTGTGGTTTAATCCTATTATCATATCCTGCTTCCCTGGTGATGGGGCTAATGACTCCTAGAGTTTGGATGGGGTATGCAGATTTTAAGTCTCTTTGTCTTGACAAACTTTCTGATGGTTTTACATTTGCATTTGTATAGGGCTGGCTCCTGTTTGGGATAGTTGGCTCCTGCTTTTAAAAATCCTTTTGAGGAAAAATATATTTTTCTGCCCTTTCCTTTTAATATTTCCTTCTCTGTGGCTCTGACTTCCCACAACTTCAACAGCCAGTTTGGCGTAGTGGTGAAGATGCTGGCTTAGAAACTAGGAGGCTGTGAATATTCCTCTGACTTTAGGAATGACTGAGGCCAGTCACTCTCTCTCAAGCCAATGTACCTCACCGGGTTGCCATGGGAAAAATAGGAGTATTATCTATTCTCACTATCTTGAATTACTTATAAAGTAATAAAGGCCAGATAACCATATAATTAAATAAATAAATTCTAATAATTGACTTGTCACATAAATATGGCACTTGTATTTATTTATTATTTAAAGCACTTATATAGCTGCTCATCTTATATTGAACTCTAGGTGGCTCCCAATCACACATAACAATTTTTATTGTTTGGCACATAAATATATGCTGCTACTGTATTAAAATCCCCACATCTCAATATCTGTATATAAATAAAAAGAATTTTCTACATATACACGTTTGACCCTGTGAGCACATCACTTAGCTTTGTGCTGAAATATAGATCTCTGAGAAAATAAGTCCTCCAGTTTTGACCAGCGAAAAGGTTTTGCTTTAATTCTTTTTTTCTTATGGTACTAATGATCATTTCAGCTGTATGGATTATTTCAGTGTAACAAATGCCCCTTTTTCATTATTCTAGCAACTGGGATGTCTTGTATCACAGGCCAAATCTGAGAACTCTGATTTACCAGGGAGAACTATAGGTATTTTGCTATGTTCCTGAATGAACCCCAAATATCTTTCTATATAGGCATCTTCCCCAAATTGGTGCCTTTCAGATATGTTAGAATTTCAAAGAATTTCCAGCCAATATGACTGTTGGAGGCTCTCCTTAATGCGTAGTGGAGAACACAGAAGAATGCTTAGAATTAGTTTAATCACATGCCAAGTTGCCCAACTAATGGACCAAGCCTTTCAGAAATAATATGCATCTACCTATCATTTGGGTGTCTTCTGAACAAAGGTCTAGTGCTTTTCTGAAAGAATGCTAAACTCATGTGCCAAAATAGCCTGGCTGACAGGTCACAGGCATGAAAGGAGGAGGAAGGTGAAGTGGGAAGGAGTGATGAAGAACAAGCACTGTGCATGGGATTTTAAGGATGTGGCAATATGGCCACTGCCAGCAGCAACTGTAAGTAACCGATGGTGTTAGCAAAATGGCAATGCTCACCTCACCAAATTTAAAATAGCAGTAAAAAGTATTGTTATGCCAAACCCTTTGTTGAAACAGTGGAAAATATGTAATGTACCCAATGCAGTTGGCAGAAACCAATTCTCTTTTCTGCTTTAAACTGATTAATGAAGCACAAAATTAGTGCTCTTTTGAAAATACTATTCCTGTTCTTTAATCACAGATCTAGAGATCTTTCAAAAGAACATTAAACCTATGTATATAAGAAAAATTCTGACAAGAGCTTTAGTAAATGTTTCTCAGGCATTAGGCAGACAGATACATCTTCCGAAGCCAAGTAAAACGACCACATTGCATAATGCTTAAAGGGGTTTGAAGCAGCTTGACTGTCCAATAAGAGTTTGGTAAATCTCAACTCCAATCCATTATCATCAGCCACAAAAGTGAAATGTGCTAAATTGTGCTCACAGGAATTTTGGAAGAAGAAGGATAACTTTACTCTAAAAATGGAATGCCTAAATATGATGTAAAGCTGATTGGAGCTCTGGGCTGAAAGGAGACAAAGGCACAGGGATAGTTACTGAGGCATGTTGATGTCATAGATCAGTGGTTCTCAACCTGTGGGTTGGGACCCCATTTGGGGTCGATCGACCATTTCACGGGGGTCGCCAAGCAAGGCTGTCTGCCATTTTTTTTGTCCGCCATTTTTCCCCCTTTTCCGGCGGGTGCCTTACCTCCCTTGGGCTGGGCCAGCTGGTGGTCGGCCTGCTCCGTCTCTGCCGCTTGCCAGTTACGCCTCGGCCGGTGCAGGGGGCGGAACCACGCATGTGCAGCGCTCCCGGGCAGGGAAAGTCCTCGACTTACGACCGGTTGGGTAATTCTCGACTTACGACCGGTTTAGTCCTCGACTTACGACCGGTTTAGTCCTCAACTTACGACCGGTTTAGTCCTCGACTTACGACCGGTTGGGGTCGCGGCATTAAAAAGGTTGAGAACCACTGTCATAGATGAGGGGATAAGAAGAACAGCTCTTAGACTCAAACTTGTTTGATGGGGGCATATTCATTAGAAATCAGAAATATGGAAAATTATACTGTTTCATTTATTAGCAACCTTTATACTAATACATCCAATATTTTTACTGTATTCTGATCGTCTGTGTTTCTGTTTGTTTTGTTTATACATACTGGAGGAAAGAAACAACACTCAAACATTAGGCTAAGCCATTGGGTGGTTTGTTTGTGGCTTATCTTGACACACGAAGCCAGCCAATGTATAAGAAAACCTTCCATCTCCAATAACTAGCAACTTTAGATATGCTTATTTCCTGGAGGATTAAGGGAAAGAATTTCCTATAGTTCATTTTTACTTTGAATGTGCATTAGTTAATAATGTTATATTAAAACACAGGCCATGCAGTAGCAGATAGGGGAATACCATCCCCAAGACCTTTTTCAGAAGAGGATTCATGGTTTCTTTAGTGAGTAAGATATTTAAACGAATCCTCCTTTTCTAGCTTCTTCTTCTTGTGCCATATCCGTTATTGGACGTTGGCGATCACATTGGCGACATCATAACAAGATTTTCAAGTTTCAGAGGAAAAACTAAACCTAGAAGCACTGCTTCCCTTGCTATTTCACTGACCACTGCAGTCTAAAAAGCACATTTCATACTGATGACCTGGGAAGAAGCAAAAAGTACATGAATTTGAATCCCTGTTCCCTCTTTGATATTATCAAAAAGAGCTACAGAAAATGCTACAACATTGGCAGAAGGAAAATCTCCTACACCACATCTCCTAATCCCTCTGCTAAAAAGCTTGACTGTTGAAATGTCCATGCACAACCACTCTGTACACCATACTCTTGGCATCTGGTGTGAACCCACCTCTAAATGGGTATAGGTAGTCCTCGACTTATGATCATAACTGAGCCCAACATTTCTATTGCTAAGTGAGACATTTGTTAAGTGAGTTTTGCCCCATTTTGCAACCTTCTTGTCACAGCTGTTAAATGATTCGCTGCAGCTGTTAGTAACACAGTTGTTAAATGAATCAGGCTTCTCCATTGACTTTGCTCATCAGAAGGTCACAAAAGGTGATCACATGACCCCAGGACACCGTAACCATCACAAGTCTGTTGCCTAGCAGCTGAATTTTGATCACATGACCATAGGGATGCTGCAATGGCCGTGTGAAAAATGGTCATAAGTGACTTTTTCTATGCTGTTGTAACTTTGAATAGTTACTAAATGAACTGTTGTAAGTTGAGGACTACCTGTATTTATAGGTTGTGTGGCCAATCCAGAATCTTCATATTGCTTGCCAATCAAAAGAATTGATATTGTACAATGCTAATTCCTGCCTGAAGAGGTCTCTGAACACACACAATCTGAGCTAGCACAAAAGAGTAATCTAAATACTAGACCATGAGGTGCGATTTGTGGATGCTTCTACATTAATTGTACAATTCTCTCTAATTAGTGCAGAGCTAATAAGCATAGATGAAATCACTCTTTGTAGTTGCAGTAGAGGTGATCCAGAATATCCTTTTGCTGTATAGAGTT